CTCGTCGGATGTCCTTGGATTGACGTGCTTCTTGGAAAGCTTGCTTTGACAGCTGCTTGATCTGGATGGCTGTCATCTCTTCTTCATTCCTGTCAATCGTCAACTGAGTTGGTGTTGCGACATCGAGTTGGATGAGATCTGCTGGTCGTCTTCCGAATGCGAGCTCCAATGGTGTTACTCCCCCGTAGGTGACGGTCTGATTCCTGACAGTTGCAGCGGCCTTCATCAGTTGCCTGTAGGTCACTTTCTTCAGTGTTGCAGGTGCAGTGCCTGCTTTGATGGAACTTAGCATGATCTTGAGTTGTGCCTTCAAGGGTCGAACTGCTGCTTCAGCTCGATTTGGCCATGGTGTATTCGGTCCCAAGGATATCGGAGTGATGTCAAGGGACTGATAGAAATGTTCCCATGTATCTGTCATGAAGGCTTGATCTGCGACAACTGATTTGGGCTGCAAGTGGTACTGGTCAAAATAGTTCCTGAGGACAGTGATGTTCTCGACTTCTTGCGTAGTTGTCACTGCCTCTGCAGTGAGCAATGTTGTTGCTCCATCCAGAATGACAAAAACAATGATGTGTTCTCCGGTTCCAAGGGGAACTTGACAGTGATCAATGAATGTCATGTCACCAAAGGTGTCCGCTCGAAGTCCGCTTGTCTTGCTTCGTGATGGTGCATGTTTTGCCGCTTGGCAAACTTCACACTCACTTCGGATCTTGTCAAATAGATCGAATGTTGATTTTGGCAAATGAAGTGCTCGGGTTCTAAATCGAAATTGATCTGTTGTCATGTGATGATGCTGCAGGTGGAGTTTCTTCAACTCTTCTGGATTTGACAATCGCTTGTGGATTCTGCCTAGGGCAAGCGGAAGCGATGTTGGTTCTTCTGAGGATGGTGCGAGAGGATCTGGCTCAATAGTCGACTGGCCCCTCTTGTCGATGATCCTGTCTGCTGCCGATCCTGAACCTGCTTCTACGTCCTTCAGCGAATTGTCCGAGAAGGTGAAAATGGTCTTACCTATCCACAGGTTAATCATCGGTTTATTTGCCTGGGATGTAAGTCTCCAATTGTCTTCCAAGATATCTGGATCTCCACCTGCGGATGCATCAATGATTTCCGTGGTACGTTCTCGGCCGATGTGATCAGGATTGATTGGACATTCCTTGGCTCCATTTGGTGTGAACAGCGCCTTTCGGGGCGTGATGTGCACACGGATGAGCTGCTTGTTCTTCTTGTCAAGGATCCAATGGTCCTGCTTTTGAGACCCAATGATCTTAGGAGTTGCTAGGTCCTCCTTTGTCTCGGATGATTTTGCTGCACAAACAGTTTCGCTTCTGGTGAGATCCCCGGAGGGAAATTTGATGCTGCTATCATCGTCATAGACATAGTTGGTGAGGCCCTTGTGAGCAATTTCTCCATGTGCCTTCACTCTTGCAACTCCAGCGAGATCGACGAGCGCATGTCCTGTACCGGATACTGGAACTGCTTGACGGTTCATGCCAAAGGCCTTGCGTGTGATCTTGTCACATTGAGGTGTGTGCTCGATGGTCATGTAGAGGTTCCGCATCTGGCTGATGCTGAGAAGGATCGGTACAGTTCCTTGTTCAAGGACGTCGATGTTTGTACTGCAAGGAGGAGTTGTGTGATATCGAAGATGCAGGGTCCAATTTACCCTGGCGGTCTCTCCGTTTGCAAAAGTGAACTTGGTCTCGGCCGGGATGTACTCGTAGGAGATGATGTCCTTCATTGGTTCGATTGCCTGGGTAAAACGCTGGATTGCATGCCAGCTGCCCATAGATCTGGTACATCCGTTGTCCAGAATCGCATAGGTCGGGTTGTGCTGAGGGTTGATGACAGGCGCCATCAGCTTTGTTGCCAAAAGGCTGTGATTTGTTGTGACGGACAGATTGTGTTCTGAAATTGCATCTGATTGGATCAGCTTCTCGTGGATGGCCTTTTTCCCAGGATACTCATATGCATCATGGAATGCCATTGACGCTTGTCCTGTGCTGGATGTCTCATGGGATGAGTACCAGCCATGTTCGTTCCATGTCCATGATTGATCCCAATCTTGGTCTGTCCAACCGGCATAGGTAGGCCCCATGGATGGCGCAGTCTGCTGGATGGCGGGCTGCTCCTCCGTCTTTTCTGCGGTGGCTGCGAACGTCTTGGGTTGTCCTTTCTCCTGTCCGCTCTTTCCTTTGCCACTCTCATAGGATGGATAACCTTTGTTTCCATCATAAGGATATTGGAATTTTGATTTTCCTTTCTTTCCCTTCTTTCCTTTGCCTTTTCCCCAATATGCCTGGTCGTAGGGATCATAGTTTTCGTTGGCCATATTGGCCTTTCCGCCAGAACCGCTTTTTCTGAAGGGTTTGAAGCCACCTCGTTGGGGACTGCCCTTCTTGTTTCCTGATTTCCCTTTTCCTTTTCTCTTCTTGAACTTGAAGTTCCGCCCCGACACTTTTCTTGCTATGAACGCATCGTTCTCCTTGAGGACCCAGAACGTTTCTTCATCGTTGTTTGACATGAATCCTTCAAGTCCTTCTTCATCCTCAACCCAGAAGCCTTCTTCTCCTTCATATTCACCTTGTTCGATGATGAAGAATGTGTTGCTTCGGTTGCCTCCTTGAGGTCGGATGGATGGATCTTGGATCGATGTCCTCGTTCTGATGAAGAGTTCATGGTAGTGTGTCTTCAGCATCTCATAGGAATAATTCTCGAGTGAGATGTTCCTCAATGACATTGCACTTGTGAGTCGTTCTCTTTGTTGATCTGACAACTCACTTTGAATAATGAAAAACTGTGCAATGAGATTATCCCCGAAGGGAAATGCGTCCCGCTGTCTGTCCTGCATTCCTTGGATATATTGTCTGAGGACTGTTGGATCGTCCTCATTGAGCAGGGCTGGAGGCGGCGCTCGAGCACCGGCTGCTTGCTGATGTCGAGCAATTGTTCTTGCATTTGCGTCCTGTACGGACTGTCGAAATGATGGAGACTGTGCCGTAAAGATTGGCATCAAGTCCATCCATGCTGCCTTCAATCTCATGAGAAGGATTTCGAATTTTGAGGTAAAAATGAGGAACTCTTGGTTCTGCCTTCTGTGGTTGAAGAAACTGAGGAGTCTGTACAGATACACGTTGGTCGCACCTTTCAAAAAGTACTTCTTCAGCGTGTTCTTGAAATAGTTGACTCCTTCATCAGGATCTTGCAAAAGGTCATTTTGGAGGACGGCCTTGTACATGTAAGCATCTCCAGTGAGTCTGCTCTTAAGCAATGGACCTCGCTTGGCTGCTTCTACTGTGGTGATTGTCACCCAGTCGTCCACGAGTTCTTCATACCTGAACCAGCTGACTTTTCCGTCGTACGATGGCGGCTGCTTGGCGGTCATCGATAAATTTAGTGTTTCCTCCGTATAGCTCGGCCTTGCCGAACTTGTATAGGCTTCCATGAAGCCTTCTCCATCTGATGACATCTTCCCTTGGATCTCTGCGGTTTTCCACAAATTGAGGCCCACTGCCCCAGGTGCCTATCCCCGGAGGGAACTGGAGCCCTGTGGTAGTTGAGGTCGTTGTTGGTCCCTGGATCTATTCCGGAGAGAGTCCAATATGCCAGCAATGGATGATTGGAGGATGGATTGTCCCTGGTGGATTGTCTTGTGGATAATCCTGTAAGCGGCCTGCAATGGCTCTTTTGTCCTCACGCTCGAATGGTCGTGATTATGCAAAAAGGGGCCTTGAGCCAAATGTTGCGGGAGATCAATGGTCTGAAAAACAGAACACAGGGGGTTGGGGGAGGCGGCGGCAGCCCCCACCAGATGTTTGAAGAAGTGTTGATTCAATTAGGGGTGCAATGATTCAACAACGGGGACTCGAAGAAGTGCATACATACAGACATACATGGAGTACATAGATTGCCTAAAACGGTGTATTTTACATCATTTTCTTGCGAAATTGGACGCTCGAAAAAGTGATGATTCAAATAGGGGTGCAGTAAAATCTCTGCAAGAAATCTAAAAAGTAGCGGGGGGGGGGGGGGGGTTGGGGGAGGCGGCGGCGGAGGCGGCGGCAGCCCCCACCATGATGTTTGAAGAAGTGTTGATTCAAATAGGGGTGCAATGATTCAAGAACGGGGACTCGAAGAAGTGCATACATACAGACATACATGGATTACATAGATTGCCTAAAACGTTGTATTTTGCAGCATTTTCTTGCGGGACGCTCGTGATGATTCAAACAGGGTGCGGTAAAATCTCTGCAAGAAACCTAAAAAGTAGCGGCGGCAGCCCCCACCATGATGTTTGAAGAAGTGTTGATTCAAATAGAATGATTCAAGAACGGGGACTCGAAGAAGTGATACATACAGACATACATGGATTACATAGATTGCCTAAAACGTTGTATTTTACAGCATTTTCTTGCGAAATTGGACGCTCGAAAAAGTGATGATTCAAATAAGGGAAGCCTAAATCCAAAAACCAATGAAAGGGTGCAAAAGCCAAAACGCTTGGAGAGGAACTGCGAAAGCAAAGGATGCGAAAAGCCAAAACGCCACCTGCCGAAGAGGAACTGGGAATGCAGAGGATGCGAAAAGCCAAAGCCAAAAAGCCACCAAAAGCCGCATAAACCAACAAGAAGGCGAAAAGCCGAGAAGCCAAAAAGCCAAGAAGCCAAGAAGCCGAAAAGCCAAGAAGCCAAGAAACCAAAAAAGCAAAAGCCAAAAGCGGGAAAAACAACTCCTTGAGGTGCGTGTGATGGCCGACGTGGGCCTTTAACATTTAATGAACACCAGCCACATACCGTTAAAGTTCATTTCTGATTGCATGTGTTGCACCTGTACCTTGCGCGAAGCAGCTGAGGCTTTTCTGGCAACATCAAACAATCTAATAGTTGCCTGCAACGTTGCCCACCTGCTTGCTACTCAGGGTGCCACTCCTTCTCGTACAGTTGATGGCGACATCAGTGAGAAAAAAATCAACAAACAATCATGGCGCCAGCCCAAGCGGCCTCGACCGGCACCAGCTCCGCAGCAAGCTCATCCAGCTGTTTGCCAGGCGCGCGGGGCGACTCGACCACGTGGCTCTGGTCTGGAGCCTTGGCTTGAAGGTAACCATGGTCAGACCCAATGTACTCAACATGGACCAGGCAGAAGCTTCATCAATCGCATCCCTCCATTGTCTTCAGCCCGCCGGCTCTGCCACGCTGGACCTACAAATGCATGCCCCTCCCTCATGGCTCAAGATGCGTGTGATGGCCGACTTGGCCCTTTCGCAGTTATGGACACACGCAGCATGCCATTAGGGTTCATTCATTGTTGCATGTGTTGCACCTCTACCTTGCGCGAAGCAGCCAAGGCTTTTCTGGCAACATCTAAGAATCTAATAGTTGCCTGCGACGTTGCTTCAGCCCTTCCTTGCTACCCGATGAGTCCCCAAAGTCTTGGTCAGGATGCCACTCGTTCCGGCAGAATTGATAATGAGCACCAGTGGAAAAAAACAATCATGGCGCCAGCCCAAGCAGCCTCGACCGGAACCAGCTCCGCTGCAAGCTCATCCAGTTGTCTGCCAGGCGCACGTGGCGACTCGACCACTTGGCTCTGGTCTGGAGCCTTGGCTTGAGGACGGTGCGGACAAACCCATTGCACTCAACAATGGTGCAAACGCTTCTGTCTCATCAACCGCATCCCTCAGTAGTCACCCCAGCTCACACCAGCCTCAAAGTCGAGTAGACGTGGACTGGTTAGTGGCACGGCTGGCCCAACACATCCGGGGTGCCCTGACATGATAGGAAACCTCACTATATTTCTTGTCCTGTTGCACCTGTACCTTGCACTAAGCAACTGAGGCATTTCTGGCAACATCCAACCCAGCAGCGTCGATTGGCATCGCTGCAAGCTCACCTGGCAGTGCGCCATGTGCTGCAGGTGCTGCATGTGGCGACTCATCCACGTGGCTCTCATCTGGCGCCTTGGCAAGGGAGCCCCTAACAATCTTGCAAGTCGCGTTGGACTGCTCCAAGACCTCATTGCAAATTACAGGAAATGATGGGGCGAGCGAAGCCGAGTGAAACAACTACTGCCTTCACTCTAGCACTGTTCCGCTGGACCTACAAATGCTCAAGCCCTTCCGGCATGACAAGCCCTCTCGACTCTTGCTCACACCTTCCACCCGCCCACGGCCTTCGACTCGGTCTGATCCGGGGCCTGGGCTGAATCATGGGTTGCCAATACCAAAATGGCAGGCGCGCATTTGAGGAGAGCCAAACAAACAAAAAACAAAAGAAGGGGTTGTGTGGGGCCGGGGTCCCGTGAGCCTGAGCCGACGAGCACTCCGTAGAACAGGGTCAACTTCTGTTTTGCTCTGTCTCTTCTCTTTTCTCTTTCTTTCTCTCTCGCTCTCTGTCTCTCTTTCGTTCTCTTTTTGTCTCTCTTTCTTTTGTTCTTTGTCCTGCCTTCCGAAAGTTCTGCGCTGCAACGAGGTTCATACCGGACCAAGCCCAAACGCTGCGCCTGCCACGAAATCTGCACCTGGCCATTTGAAAGTGTTGCGCCTGTCATGAAATCTGCGTTTGGCCTTGCAAAAGCGCAGCGCCTGTCACAATATCTGCACCTGACGTTGCGAAAGAGCTGCTCGTGGCACTGTCGCGTCTGCACCAAAGAAATTTCCAACGTGTTCATTCTTCATCTTTTCTTTTGTGCAGAACTACCTTCAATTCTACCCGTAAGTCTAAGCTTTCCTTGGTCATACTATTTACTTTGTCTCAGTAAGTGATGTGGGTCCCGAAGAAAACTGTGTGACTGCAATGCAGTTCAGCTCAGCCAACCCACCCACCCCTGATACTCCACAAGTGGCGGTAGGCGTTACCTGCCTTTGCTCTTGTCCACGCATATAGCATACATGAGAAATGCTAGCGTCTGGGAGGCTCTTCTTCATCTTAGTTTTCTGAGCCCTGTCATATACAAGTTTCCGCTGGAGAAGCAAAGCAGTTCACTCAAGGGACAGGCAAGGTAGTTGAGCGAATTGCTGCTCCCCGCACTGCAGGCCAAACCAATCAGAATACGGCGTGAGCTCAGAGTTTCTACTTATGCGTACCCCCTACCCAGCCCCGCTCCGCCCTACCGGAAGAAAAACAACATGCAGCGATTTGAAAGGCAGGCAACCTGCAAGCCGGCAGCCTCAGGCCCAAAATCAAGCCATAGCCACCTTGCAGCTGTTCTGAAAATTGTTCTCTAGGCCGGGGGTGAAGGCTTCTGGATTTTGCCGAAGCCTTCGACAAAGCCTTCGAAGCTTTCGATGAGAGCTTGCACAATTACGGTAAGGTTACGGAAGACATGTGCCCCATTCTCTCCCCATCCCTCACTCTGAGCCATGTGATGCTAGCTCATTCTGCGTGATCTGCGCATCGAAAGAGTGCCTTCTCCTCTTAGCCCAGCCGCCTGCGCTTCCGAGCGCTCGCGCCACAGCTGGCCCTGCGCCAAGCCCAGGACGCCAGCCCCAAAGTCAAGCAGCCTACGTAAGCCTAAAGTGTAACAAACAAAATCCTGCTCAGTTGTTTATACATGGCGGGGAGGAAAAAGACCTTGTACCACTCCGAAGGATCGATCGACTAAGCCAAATCCGCATCGCTGGTTGGCTGCCGAAACGGATGGAGAAAGCAGGAAGCAACGCTAACGCGGCCTAGCATGCGGTTGGTCATGTCAAACCCTCATAAGGACATCATGCAAAATGAACTCCTCGCCTGGTCTGCGTCAATGTCCTCTTCCTGAGCGGTTGCAAGCAGTCCCAAACAACATTGCTCAACATGGGAATGGGCCCCTACCTCCAGTTGCATATGTTCAGCTGCGTCCGCCATTTCTTGAAAGATTGCCTTCTACCAGGGCCAGCAGCGGCAAACAACAGCTATTGCCACATCCTTACCCTAACTGCCGAGTGGCCCAAGCAAGGCAAGCCAGAAGCATGCAAACATATGGCACGTGGGCCCCGGGCATAGTAGAAGTCATCGATGCCTTACTTGCCAATGCGCTGGCATCTCATCAGGCAACGCGATTGTGTGCCCCTAAAAATGCTGAATGGAATAGTTCAGAATTGGACCCGCAAGCTTCAGGTCCAGAGTACTTTGGCTGGCCTAAATGCTACTTCCACTTTAGGCATCTGGCCACGTATCTTCAACACATCAAACCGGTTGGAGCGCATCAAATCCAGCTGTGACAGCTCCAAGGAGAATACCCTGCACAGTGGATCACAAGCCCATGCCTCAATCAGGGCTCGGAAATCCTCTCTCTTCTCTCCACCCTTGTTTGTTGGGGTAGCAGGTGGTTGCAATCTTTGTTGTCCCCTGCGGTCAACTTTTGATTGTGAATCGACTTGCTCGTGCACAAACAGAGACATGTCGAAAACGATTCCCACCCCACCTCCAACTCCCCAATGTTGCTTCTAATGCTTTGGCTGCTTCCATAAACGAGAGCTGTATGAGTCAGAAAGAAATCGGAACTTAACTTCTTCATGAAGGGTCGGGTACGCAAAGAACCGGATTGTTTCTACATAGGCAAGTCTTTGCCACACGGGATGCCAGCCTTTCAAGCATACGGTTCCTGTTGTCGACAGAAATTCGGCCTCACACAGGGACATGACAAACGTAGAAGCTAAGTGATGAGTAGATTTCACTCATACGATTGCGTCTACTTGCTTGGCCTTCATATGGTGCTTATATGCTTCAAGGGCGGGCGGTCGCAATGTGAGGTTGCTTCAGAAGGGTTCGACTCATGAAACACCATCCCAGACTCGATTTTGGAGCCCAGTTTCCAAACTAAGTGCTGGCCAGCTGCAAGCAAGAGTGTGGGGCAAAGCTCTGAGAAGGCCATGTAGATAGTCCTGGACCAGCAAACCACAAGACATGTGAAAGACATTCGGTCGAGACCTGACGTCCTTTTGGTCGGTTTCAGGCATTTGCTCAACTGGCCATCCAAAAACAAAGAGTCAGCAAAAGGAACCCCTCCCATTAGCATCCAGCTTCATCATGACTTCTGGGCCAAAGCGGAGGGATGGCATGTCTGCACCAATGGGCAGTACAAAGTACGTGCCAAGCTCACATAATGCCAACCAGCGATATCTTGGCACTTCAGGCCCCGCCAAATCACATCATCTTTGTTTCACCCGAAGCCACAGATACGGCTCTGAACAAAGTAAGATCGCCGAGTTGCTCAGACTCTATTTCCATTGTTGCTACAGGCGTTGTGTTGGCACTTTTCCCAAGTCGTTTTCATCAGAGCGCCTTTGTTCCCGACCGCTGTCTGCATGCATATGTACTAATCGCTTCCCCCTATTCTAAAATCTGCCCCTATTAACAAATATCTTTGTTCAGGCATGTTCAGGCCAGAATCCAAAAACTTTGAATTTACCCAAACCTAAACAAAAATACTAAACTTCAAACAGCCCTTATTCTAGTTTGTTTTTAGTTGTTTTTGTTTGGGGGTACTTTCAGCACTTCCTTTTGTTCAAAAACAACGAGGCCCAACTAAGATTGGCCATCTCTCGAGAATGAACATATGAACGTCTACCATAGTGTTGTTTATTAAGGGGGGTCCGGGATGTAATAATAGGGGGATGCGATTTATAGAATAATCCTACGTCATTCAAAGGCGCCATGATGCCCGGCGAGCAACGCGAGCTGGCGGATTCATACGCTAGCTGTGCGGTCACCAGTGACTCAGTGCCAGGCGAGAGCCCGACAGATCGGGGCCGCTGTGGCTCCGCTAAATCAATGGTCGGCATGGGGAACATCAATATGTGTGAGGGCGCAAGGCTATGCACCTAGGTTCAAGAGTGTGAGGTTCCCGAAGAAGCCAAGCACAGCTGCACGTCTTTCACAAAAGCGAAAGACACTCTCAGACCTCGCGTTTCAAAGAAATGCTCTCATTGGCTGATGCGCGAATGGATTCAGTTAAAAAGTTGCATCAAAGTAGCTTGAGTCGTCCTTGGGCAACCCCGCAGGGGAGGCCCACTGAATGATTTTGCTGCCCATGCCCTTTTTTTCAAGCGGCACAATGCTGGCCAAAAGCAGCCGGCCGCATTCCTGGATGGGCTTCAGGTGGCATGCCAAGCTAGGGCACTGCGTCAGCTCACTGCCAAAGCACACAGTTGCTCAGATTCACTGCGCCATCAGGAGACGCAGGACGCAAAGCTGTGCACAAATTACAAAGTCAGATTTCTAGTTCAGAATCTCAGCCAATCCAAACAGATTCAGACAGTCTCACCACTTGCTTCATTCTCAAACGCAAACCTTGCTGAGCTTCAGTCGGATTGTCCGCAGGCAAGGCCTGGGCGCCGGTCTGCCCAGCGGCCAGCCGGAAGCTTCAAGACTTACGCCTCCTGTGCTGGTCGGCACTGGCACTCCAGGAAAGGCCGCATTGCCATGCTTGGACTTCGGAAATTAAAAAAGTTTTAAAGCTCCCGCCCTAGTACAAGCATGTTGCACAGTCCAAGCGCAACTTGAGGGTACCCAAGGCATGATTCCCAAAACATCGCTGTCGCATTTTGCAGCTCCAAATATTATTCCTCGGGTTTCCAAACGCAGTTGGCGATGCAACGAAAACACCGCAACATGCTTGGGGATGGAGAGTCGCAGGTCTGGCGTCCCGTCATTTTGCCTTGTACCCGAGCGGTCGGGTGCCAAAGCCTTGCCTTCGACGAAAAAAAAACGGGCAATTAAGGGGTCAGAGTGACTTTTTTGGTGGCAGGATCGCCCCCCCATTTTCCTTCATGCAATGTGTGACACCGACCTGCTTGGACTCCCAGGGCTTGAGTCACATTTCCTCACGCCAAATCAGCGTCGGAGCGTAGGTCTTCGAGAGCCTGGCGCGCGATGTCGGAGATCTGGTGGCAGTGCTTGGAGAGGATGCCGAAGAGGCCCGCCAAGGGCAGCGACTGCAACAAGGGGTTCAACTTCCTCATCTTCCAACTTTGGCACGCGCTCCTCAGCTCACTGAAGACTTCTTACGGGATTGATGAGTTTTAAACGTGTGAAGTGTGGGAGATCAGCATCTGCTCGTTCAAGGTACTTAGGTTACTTAGATCACTCCCAGTAAGCTACACAGCTGGATGGGAGATGATGACCCCACCGGACGGTTTCATCTGCATGAACATCTTGCAAACCCTATGCAGTACTCCTGATGAGTATGCCTCTAGGTTTGACAAGGTCCAAAAAGGGAGGTTTGGGCGGGGCTGCTCCTCGGAACCCAACATGTGTGCCCAACCCGAGGAACATTTTTGGAAACAAGAATCTCGACAACTGGTTCTTTTTTTGCAGGGTGCCCGTCTCAAGTTGAGGGATGTTGGCGGGAATGAAGGGAAAACCGTGTTTATCGCATTTGCATACCCTTGCGTTGCTATTCTAATAAACGACTGAATTTCGGATTCCCAAGTACAGGGCATAACCGAGAAACTTGCGAAACCCTAGTGTATAGACAAAACATCTGGTAGCGGCTATCGCTTTTGTAGCCCTAGTGCACTTTGATAGATAGCTCCGACTTGAAAGGCACAGCTTCTCAGTACAAGTGTAGTAGTAAAATACACTTTGGCATCTCCGGCTCGAAGGCGCAACTTTTCAGCAGAAGCCTAGCAAACGAAGCGCTTTGGCATCTCCGGCTTGAATTCAAAGTCGCAACTTTTCACATACGAAGTACACTTTGGCAGCTCCGGCTTGGAAGTCGCAACTTTTCAGTACAAATGTAGCCGGGGAATGACGCTAGTTCTCGTTTCTTTTTTTCCCGAAAGCATCGCAAAGGGCTCTTCCGTGCGGAGCTCTCGGACCAACTTGCATAAAGTCACTTGCGCAGAGTCAAACACATAGAGCCAACTGCATAGAGCCGCGCATAGAGCCAAGTGCATAGAGCCAAGTGCATAGAGCCAAGTGCATGAGCCAAGTGCATAGAGCCAAGTGCATAGAGCCAAGCGCAAAGAGCCAAGTGCATAGAGCCAAGTGCATAGAGCCAAGTGCATAGAGCCAAGTGCATAGCGCTTTGGCGTTAGCAGCGATGTAAATTAAGTTTAGGTTTCTAGGGCGCCGGGGCAGGACTTTGATCGTCGATCGGGATTGCGACCCTCTGTGGGGATGGGCATGGTCGAGGTGCACAAACTCAAGGTTTTTTGCGACTCTCGCGGTGCCCGCGCAGCCCTCTGCGGGGTCGGTTGAGGTGTTTTTTTTTTACTAGCCCCGGCTTTTTACTCGCCCCGGCTCGGCACAAGCTGGGGGCATCGCCAGCATGCCCAGCATTTCCGGTTTCTTGTCGCGGCTGCGTATGGGGGGCATGACTTGATGCTCGGGATAGCCGCATCGCCAGCATTACTGGCCTCACTCGGACGAGAGCTGCCTATTGACTTTAGTTTGGTGGCAGTTCAGGGTTGATCGGGGCTGGTTTGGGGTGAGTGTTGGGCTTGCTGAGATATTAATGCGGGCGGGTCTTGGGTTTGTTTAGGATTCATTTTAGCCTCGGCAAAGGGCCGATATGCAGGATGCGGTTGGGAGGGTTTCAGGTTGACTTTGGGTCGGTTTTGGCTTGGCTGGGGCTGATTCGTGCTAGATGTGCGGCTGGTTTAGCTGTGGCTTTCGGGTTGCTTCAGGGATGTGGTTCTGCAAGTTTTGGGCTGGGGTTGGTGGTTTGGGGCAACGCCCCACAACCAACCCCAAACCAGCCCAAAACTTAAAACTTGCAGAACCACATCCCTGAAGCAACCCGAAAGCCACGGCTAAACCAGCCGCACACCTAGCACGAATCAGCCCCAACCAAGCCAAAAATCGACCCGAAGTCAACCTGAAACCCTCCCAACCGCATCCTGCATATCGGCCCTTTGTCGAGGCTAAAATGAATCCTAAACAAACCCAAGACTCGCCCGCATTACTATCTCAGCAAGCCCAACACTCACCCCAAACCAGCCCCGATCAACCCTGAACTGCCACCAAACCAAAGCCAATAGGCAGCTCTCGTCCGGGTGAGGCCAGTAATGCTGGCAATGCGGCTATCCCGAGCATCAAGTCATGCCCCATACGCAGCCGTGACAAGAAACCGGAAATGCTGGGCATGCTGGGGATGCGGCCGCCCAGCTGACCAACCAACCAACCAACCAACCAACCAACCAACCAACCAGTCTCCCCCCGAGCCGGGGCTAGTAAAAAAAAAACACCGGTTCCTGCGGGGTCGAGGTACCAAAAAAAACTCAAGGTTTTTTTAGATTTCTGATCTGCCCGCGCGACCCTCTGCGGGGATCGGCGTGGTCGAGATGCAAAAACTCGAGGTTTTTCGATTTCTGACCTGCCCGTGCGACCCTCTGCGGGGATCGGCGTGGTCGAGGTACAAAAAAACACTCGAGGTTTTTCCGATTTCTGACCGGCCCGCGCGATTTGGAACTTGTCTAGCGGTTCGCGCGCGTGCTCTCGAATTCTGGCGGTCGTGGGTACAGTTCCGGCTGAAGAATCACAACTCTTTGCACACGGCGCTTGCACAGGCAACTTGCGCAGAGACGCTTGCGTAGAGAAGCTGCAAATGGCGCTGAACAACTTGCACACGGCACTCACTTGCGCCCGCAACTTGTGCGCAGCAATTGGCGATTAGCAACTTGCGCTTGCAGCTTGCGCACGGCACTTGCGCAGGCAACTTGTGCAGAGACACTTGCGCAGAGAACTTGCGCAGAGCGTCTTGCGTAGAGTCGCTGGCACAGAGCCAGTTACACAGAGTAACTGGCGCAAAACCAACTTACACAGGGCAACTTTGAGTACTTGCGACAAGCAGTTGATGACAGAAGTGAAAACAAGGTCCGCCGATCTTGGGCTTGAAATGCTTTCGGGCCAATCGTCCTCTAGTTAACCTCAGCGTTCCTGAAGACTGTTGGCACTTGCTACTGCGCATATTGGCATGTCATATTCAGCCCTAGGCGGTCATATGAGTTGTTGCCCCTTCCGCTTCCATGCCAAACAAGCAAATACCAATATGGGTGCTTCTCACATTTGGAACCATCCAAGTTGGTTTCCGCTTTGTGCCGGCTTTGTCTCAAAATGGGGGGGCCATGGTTGTCCATTGGTTTCCCTCAATCCAAACAAGCAAGCATGGCCACCCACCCCAAACACTGTTAGAGAAAAGATGCACCTGCCCCAGTTGACGGTCAAATCTCTGAGGCTGGCCCTCCAAGATCCGCAGGAAGTCTTCAGCTCGAGGTTGCAGGCTGGGCGATAGGAGCTGAAGCCGCGACTCAAACTGGGGCACCACCAAGCCCAGCAACTCACTCTCCGACAAGGAAGCCACCAGCTGCCGCATGGGCCTGGCCAACCATGTAAAGACATGTATATATGTGCATACATACATATGTGTATGTAAATATATGTATATAGATGCATATATATATATATATTGTACCTATACACGTACATATGCATATATATAATATATATATATATGTGTACATAAATATATACATATGCACTCCAAACGGCAGCAAGTAGGTTGTTTAGTGTTTGTGCAGAACTGCTTCTTCCCCCGGCAAATTTGTAGGTTGTTGGGGCGTTACACATTTTTGCAAATGCTTCTCTTCCTAGTTGTGCCAAACATACTTTGCTTCTCTCAATTTCCAAGCACGCAATATGGTATCATCCGAACTGATGTATTTCAATGGCATGCCTGCCTGTTGAAAGGCGCACGCGTTGGGTGGGGCAAGTGGCAAAAATCGCAGTGAAGACCAGCGGAACAATTGCCACGCACGAAGTGCACGCAAGGTCGACGGCAAAGCTCAGGATGATTCACGCTGCCCACCGAAGCTCTGGAAGGTGGTTTGGTGTCAGCCTGTGCACTTGGTGAGGCACAAGTAGACCTCGGCCAAAGGGGTGTTCTCTTCTCGCCACATTTGGAAACTGGATTCGGCCAAAGTGACAGACTCCGCCATCGCGAAACATCCCAAACAGGCATCTACCAAGTCAGCCCCAGCGGAATAACCTGCAGTCTTACATTTAGTCCAACATCTGAGAAAAGAGTACATCATGGGATCCGCTCGTTTGCGGATCGGTGTGGATCGGTGTGGATCGGTGCCCACGGGCAATGTGCTTGGATGCTGGCAGCCTGCAGCTGGTGTCCCCCAAAATCAATCCAAGACATGCCATGACCTTCATGCTGATAATTTTCGGATTTTGAATTTGTGGTTTGGGGAATGGAACTCCTGGCGTTCGATGGACCAAAGGGGAACGTACCTGGAGCCTCCAAACTATCAATCCAAACCACCAAGCAACTGGAGGCTGATCCTGTTGAACAAAACTGCGCATAACGCTAGGTCCATACTTCCCTTCAGCAGCTGAGTGGCTGGAGGTGCTGCGCCCTCTCAAAGAGACTGGACATTTGCACCTTGACAAGCTCATCATCCTCCACCTCCTGCCACATTTTGGGATCCCCTCACCATGGAAGGACAAAATCGTTGGTAGGTGGTTTAGGTCGGTATCCATCCCCCAAAGCGGATTTGGGCCATCCACAGGGGGGTTGAGCGATCCTTTCGAAGTGGTGCTGTTTTTGGGATTCTCAAACGATGGCCTTTTCACCCAGCTATTTGGGAGCTTGAAGGTCCAACAAAAACAGCGCCAGGCACGCACAATCTCCCCAACCCCTTGACACCTTGAACATGAAATTTTGGGAGGCGTTTGGAATTCCAGCAAGGCTGTGAGACACGTCGGAAAAGTGAATGGCAACCTCTCCCAACCGCATCGTGAAACTGTTTGGAGCAGGCACTCGAAATGGATAAGCCAAACGTCTTAGAAGGGGTTCTCCTAAAGGTGTCCGAGAATTGGACGTTGGATGCGCAGGGAACATCATGGGCATGCCTTTCACCGGCGAACACGTGTCTTCAGTGGCAAAAGGCCGGTAAGGAGGCCCTGTTGTTGGCCGGAAGCTTTGCTCTTCCATTGGTCAACATATGAGTCCCGGCGCTTCCGGGAGCCCAGGTAACGGACAACTGCCCTCCGCTCCCCGCGCTCCTTTGCGCAAACGGGCGTTGGAGGCACGCTCTGTGCACGGGGTGTCCTGCATGTCGGAGGCACCTCGTCGATGTCGATGAATGTCAGGTGGAGACGCAACATGTTACCGTCCGCCAGCCAAAAAAGACACTGACACCTTGAGCACAGAACGCTGAACCCAATGAACCCATCCACATCAAACGGCTTCTGATTCCCCCGAGGGCCACAAAACCTTTTGTCCAAGCAAACGCGACGTTCAAGCCGTCCAGGCGCCCTGAGGCCTGCCGAGTGCCCGTTGGTTTGCAAGAATCCGATTCCGGGCTTGCTTTTTGGGATGCCGACATTTGGCTTGGGCCGCCGCGCTGAGAAACTAGGGTTTTGAAGTGGCCCTGGTGGACAAAACGTGTCTTGGGATGTCAATTGGAACTGGCGCGAGTGCCGCGGAGAGAGCCCTGAAAAAAAGTTCTGAATAACGCGTCTCTCTTTCTGTCGTTGGGAATGTTGCATGCTGATGCTGGGACTCAGCATGCACGACAGTGATGCAATATGATGCAGGTCTCCCGCTTGACTGGCGCATCCGGAGGAATAGGAAGTCGTTTGCAGCATTGCCTTGCCAGATTCACTCAGAGGAGGTCTATCCAACGAGCTTCCCAAGCCTCTCATCCCCTGAAGCTTAAGTTGTGTCGGAAAAAACCGGACAGCAGCCTCGCCCATGCGCGGCTCTCCTCCAAGCCACCCTGGGGCCGACAGTCAGGCAGGCTGCAGTAAAAGGCTTCTTTTCATTTACTGATTCAGAGCCACAGCAAGGGAAGATAAGGGAAGCCATTGCAAGCCAAGCGACATTGGTGCCCATTAAGGGCCATCGACCGATGAAGGCCATAACCTTCTTTGGCCCCCCTTGTGGCTCTGAATCAATGACAGTATCGGTTCGGCAGGTGCAAACGCGGCATTCCTGGATTGTTGATGTCTCATGAGTTTAGGGTTGGCATGGGTTGGCTTACTGGCTTGGGACGGGCGTCTGGCGGGTGTATATCTAATTTAGAGGTGTCAGACTAGGTCGATCGGTGCTTCCTAGACCAAAGGTAAACGGAATGCAAAGCATGGCGCAGAAATTATGATGCCCTACTGAAACTGAAACCAGTGTCGGTCACGCACCGGAGCCCATGCAAAACCAGCCCCAACCCACCGCTTTGGGCCTGCAGGCGGCCAAACAACTAAGTAAGTTGCCTCCCAAGCAACTGGAAAAAACCACAAAAAAGGCTCCCCAACTCACACTGAACACCTGATTTTCTGAAAGGGGACAAATGGTTTGACTGCACCGACAGATCTGTAAGGCATGGGCCAAAGGCGAGGCTGCATGCATCTCCATTGGCCGATGCTTGCTTTAGGACCTTGGCAGTGGCCTTAGGTTGCGGGGCCATCAAACCTTAGTCTGTGTGCAACCGATGTCATGGCAGTCCCATGGAGTTGCATTTGCTAACTCGCCCTTTGAACGACCAAAAGCTTGCCGTTGGAGGGTGGCTCGGCTAGACCCCCAAAATATATTATTGTGCAGCCACGTGTTGGCAACATCTATTACCGCCACAGCACAAATGAGCGCTGAGCCAAATGGCAGCGAAGAGTGCATGCGCTCAGCTGCCGATGGAAATCGCGCGAGTGGACGGTAAACCCAAAGCGTAGGCTGGATGACCGGCTGATGACAAACGGTCGCAGGATCTGAAGTGCAAATACTGCACGTCAACCACAGGGAGGAATCTCAGCTCTTCTCATAGCTGGCAATGATTGAGCACTGGTGTTCACCTGTTGCCTTTGAAGCTGGGGGTAGTTGCCAGCAGCCGAAGCACCATTCGCAACAAAGATCATGTCACAGCCGTGTCTCTCTGGCCAGTTTGCTTCCTGTGTGGCAGCAGCGCACGGGTGCCAAAATGCAATAAGAACACTTCGGGCCTGGTTTCAGTGATCCTCGCACATCCCTGAGCTCTGCAACCTACACATCGCCTTCCTTCAGAGGAATACACATTGCCCTGACCTCAGCTGCCACGGTGCGCAAATCGGGGCCTACCTACCAGGTTGCCTACGACAAAACCTGCCGAACGGCTCCGTACTGCGCATGCCTCGCGTTGGCCTCAAGACTCTCCCCAAAAAACAAGGCATCACGTTCCAGATTTGCGAATTAGTGCCCTACATCCCGCCATCTCGTCCAAAATCTTAAGTCATGCTCTGCTCTGCACCGCGTAAAAACCACCCCCTCCGAGTTCCAGGTTTCCCTCTCGACCACCTAGATGAAAGAAACGCCACTAAGGAGAGCGAGGCCATCAAACAGCCCGCGGGCTCACCCTTTTTCATGTACGCCAAACAATGGCGAGGGCTCGCTGCTTGTGAGCTGGAGCTCAACCATGCATCGGAACTCCCGACCGGGACAGCGAGCAAAGATTGAAAACCTCTCGCGAAGATGGCCAACTGTTTCGGGCCCGCCGGATCGGCGTTCTGACATCCAGTGCCCCGACCCAGCTTGCTGGCATTCCCAGTGCGAAGTGGTCACCTCTCAAAGTGCAAGTCAAGGAGATTCCTTTTTGGGTAAACGGCGGCCAAATATCGGCCGTGTCACCCACCAGCTGGTGTCAGCGGATGCTGGGAGGATTGGAGCATGACTAAGGCTCATCACTCGGCGTGAGCCCAAACCGCCCCAATGGCACGCATCAACAGCGCCAGCGGGCCCTCAGAAGCGCACGTCGCAGGTTTGCACCTGCCTCGGTGAAAGCAACCCGGCCCCCCCTTGCGCCAAAGGGCGAAGTTTGGCCCCGTTCCAATTGACTGAGCCCCCCCCAGTCAGATGGGTTGCCTGAGTGGGTGGGGGTGAATTGCATCGGTGGCACGAACGGGCCCACTTCAAAACCCAACCGAAGATTGCAGCCCAACAGCTTGCAATGATGTCAGCGCATCCGTGCCACGTTCAGCTCTCCTCGCATAAGACCTCTCAATTGCCATTCCGCCCTTCCGGTCGGTACATGCCAGCATACTGGTGCTGGGCGGTCCCTCAAACCCGCCGCAGCTTGATTTTTGGACATGTTGAAATGCTGTGTGCTGTTGAAATCCCATAAAGCCGCCAGTGGCCTCCCAAGAAATACTGCACATTAAAGAAACGCACAAACCAAGACACAAGGAAGCAAAGGACAAGCAAACAAGCAAGAAAAAGCAGCACTAACACGCATACTAAAAAATGGGAGCAAACAACCAACCAAACAAACAAGCAAACAATTACCCTGTGTCAAAGCAAACAAGGCCAACCAACACCATTCATGTTCCTCGGAGCGCGGCGAGCGTGATCTCAGCAGTTTTTCGGTGACGTGCACGGTCTTCTGGGTCATGGGATCCTGCTCGGAAGCCAGGTCCCGCAGGTTTGCTTCAAGACATGCAAGTTCCTGAAGGACAAGCACACGCACGAACCCACATGTATAGTCGCGAAATGTCAGACACGTTGCATGACATTGCGTTCCGTTGCAGTGCCTTGCTTTGCATTGAATGGCATTGGAGGGCATCATTGCATATTATATTTACATACATATTATTGAAATGTAATAACACATACTATAATATAACAAACCATGTCACACCATATCATAACAATACGCTACATTACGGTATAGTGCACTGCGCTGCGTTACATTCCACGCATTGCATTACATTGCACGGTGATACGTAATTACACACAACATCATACAAACACAGGCACATCCGGCGGAACCAGGGCAAAATGTTCCACCAACATGATAACATAAGAACTATAGCTTGGAGCACCCTTCTTTTCCTCATCTCTTTGTCCAAATGGGCCAATTGCCGATGCAAAAGACTGGCAAATAGTTCTAGGAAATCTTGAATGCTACTTTTGGTCCTCGCAAGAGGTCATTGATGATTTCGAAGGGAATTGCAGCATTTTACTGTTAAGCCCCATGAGCCCGCCACCCCTAATGAGACCCCTTCCTCACATAAGAAAATTGTCAAGCAATCTTTCAGTGATTGTCAGTGCACTTGCTATAAGACTAATTACCTCACTCTGGCCCGATTCTGGCCTCCAGCTTGCCTTTGGAATTTTCTCTGTCCCCCGAATTTGTGTGGCCAAGAGACACCTATTCAACATCCATCTCCCAAGTGAACACCGCGTCCTTCACCAGCACGGGCTCGTGAGTATCCCAAGCTGGCAGGAGACGGACCTTTAGCCCTCCTCTGGGGATGATCCTGGGCGCCAGGTGTTTCGTTCTTCCAACGCCTGGAACGCTGGGGAGCTTTGACCTACAACGCCGACAACACACTGGTGCACAGCTTGGGGTGCAGACTTGGAAACTTCATAGGCACAACTCTGATGATCCTGAGTCTTGGGAAGTCAGACAGCTAAACCAACCCCGAGCAGTCAAACCCCCCCCCAAAAAATGCGGCCCGGTACTGTCTAACCACCTTGGGGCCAACAGGCTAACTGAAATTATTGGCATGCAATCATCCGCAATTGCTAATGCCTGCATTGACACATCCAGCACTCAGCTGCCTTTTGTTCCTCTGCTTTGCGGCTGGCCAAGAAATGAAACCGCCCGAGCAATGTGCTAACCTGTGGCCAAAAAAAACACGCCTGACAGCCAACTGGACTCAAAGTAGAAAGGGCGCAGTTAAGAGTTTGTAACAGGCGCTGGTGTAAACTTTTGATTCTGGGGCCACGGGCTCTGCCAGCTTTCCCTCTGCAAAGAGTCGGCTCCTAGTCACACGGGGCTGACTGACGTGGTCAAGTAAGAACGCGCAAAGCGACTTGGCGCAAACGTGTAGAAGTAGTTAATGGTGAGATTGCGTGAAAGTACTGGCTGGACAAAGGCTGGGTGAACAACTGTTTGTTTAATCACACACTGCAAGCATGACTGGAATCAAACAGGCAAGGATACGGGTGCGTTCTTCAAAAACAAACAGCAGGAATGCTAATTGCTCCCTGTTTCGTTTGTCCCTCGTGAATGAAGTGGTGTACAGAACTCATACAATGTGTTTGTGCTGTGGCTTGCTGGGTCAGTGTCATGTAGGCCCACATCACACACACAGCCCACAACCGAACCAACCGCTTGCTGTAAGCAAACATTAACATTCGGATGCATGCAGCCGCATGCTTGCCACACCTGGTTGCTGGACAATGAACTAACACGCTTCCTGTGCTTGCGGGTTTGTGGAAGGTTGCTTTCGCTTGCCACGCGTCGGCCTGCTGCGGGCATCCTCAAGGCAATATTGCAAAACTTAACGCGCTGCCCATTGCACACAAGGCCCCGCCCACTGTTCCAGGCCACCGAAAACAACAAGCTCTGGCAAATAGGGGCTTGTGCCCGCGCGTGTCAAAACAAACCGTGGAATCACATGACACGTGCCGATCCCGCACCACATGAACAACCCATAACAATCAAGCCACAGGTCTCAGGTTGGGCCCCCGGCCACTCGGCAGGATCTGTCTTCCTCTTGTGCCAAGCCGTGAGGTCCATGGACGCCGGGGGCTCAAAGCCTGCGACGGAAGGCTAAAGGAAACTCATCGGGTGATGCTCGCGGGTGATGCGCACCTTGGGACTGAAGGGAAATGTGGGGACTGCACCCAAACAAAATTGAGACCCACAGGCTTCAGACACAAAACCATGTATGCCGCGAGGCGGCCCCTGGTGAAAGTCACGCGCACACTTCTCAGAGCTTGCTCAATGCTTCTGGCTTCAGTGATGGCGCAAGGCGAAGTCATGATAACCAAACATGGGTGAGAGCAACTCCTCAAAAAGAACTGTTAAAATACGAAGCAACGCTTCAACACCAAGCCATGAGGACTAAGAATCTCAGGGCCACCAACAGCACAAAGCCCGCGGCAGGCCTTCCGGGATGCGATGCCAGACCCTGGCGGACGATTCTGGGAATGTGGTTGATTCCTTTATTTGGGCAAAAAAAAGAGGACTAAATCAGAACGAGGACATTGCGCCGTGTAATTTCACGCAACTGTCAAAGGATGCCAGGATGGTTCCATCATGAAACTTGTTTGGATTGCTGTAGGCTGGTTCACTTGATGTAGGTACCATATTTGCAGTGCCCGATCTCTGTCCGACAATTTGACTCGACGCGCGCTTAGATAAGAAACTGACTGTTGTGTTTCCTGTTTTTTTCTCCTCCAACGCTGCAACACCCCATAGACTCCAACAGCATATTGCAAAGTGAATGTGATTTTGTGTTATATTTCTTGGGTCTCAGGCATCCCTGCTGAAGCTGCAAAACAAACAAAGCTCATCCCTCGCGACAATTGGCTTTCTTAGCCGCTCAAAATTGAATGGGAGCAAAACCTCAGCTTGTAACCCCAACTAAAATGAACATGATTTGGTGCGCTTGAACAATTGTAACAATCAAAC